GGTTTAGGAGCACGGGTTTTCGACAAGTTTGAAGGTTACGGCCAAACCAGGTCTTACCGTCTTTGTCAGTGAAAGCGTCCATTCTTTGGTCGGGATCCTCCACCCAGAGCTCGCCCCCCTGATAGGGACCGATCTCCTTCATCGAGTGGTCCCACTCCCCCTTCGAAATCTTCTTCTTCTTCTTCTTGATGCGGGTTTCTTTCTTCAACGGCGTTGTGATGTTGATCATCGAGTTCGGGCGGCTTCTGGTTTCCCAGAGCTTCAAGATCCTGTGACAATGGGAACTGGAACTTCCCTTCCAGGAGTTCAAGCCTTTTGGCCCTGAAAGTCCTGAAGGCGTCATTCTCGATGGCCTCGTTGATTCCCTGCAAAGGAGCAACTAAGTACTCTTCCTTGAAGACGAAGCCAGGCTGGATATGATACCCGAGGAAAATTCCTTCAATACCCGTCCCCGCAAACTTTGACCTTTTGGGCTGCTTCTGCTTGGGGTCGGCCCAGTACAAAATCTTAGCCCCAAAGGGAACAAGGACCCCTTGGAAGTCGCTCCCGAACCTTTGATTCCATGGCACTAAACCGTTGTCAAGACGTTTACTAACGTTCAAAGAAATAGCGTGATGTTGGGATGCAAGTGGCCAGAACTGATCAGGTAAACCAGATTGTACCAAATTGGCACGCGTACCTTCCAAGATCGTTCGTATTTCACGCTCGATCACTGCTTTGTTCTGATCCACATACTCCCTGGATGTATTGTGCCTAGCTTGGAGTTGCTTAACCGCGTAGTCGAACTCATGGGCGTTGTCTGAGTAAACAACCTTAACATTATCATCGACCTCGAAAAAGTGCAGTAAATCTTCGTAACACTGCTCACCACTTTTGTTGTCGGCCGGGTAAACATAACGGAACTTCGTAAAGACATCCTTCACAACATGTGCTACAGTTTGTCCTTCGAATCCGTAGTCCTTGGCGTCTTTCGTGATGATGTGGTCGATGGTGATGTGGTCACCGAACCCCTTGCTGTGCACAGTGCTAGAACCTCCCTTTCTTCTGGCATGCGGAGCATACATTTTGGCTCGTTGACATACCGGACAGAAAGGGTTCTTTGGACGATGACTCAAAAGATGCTGCACGGATTCCGCTTCAGCTCTTAGAGACGCCTCGTCCTTCTTCGACTTTGGAATGTGGGCCTCAACGTCGCTATCGGGCACATCTTCACCGCCATCGGGCATGGTAAAGACAGTGATGGTCATGTCGGTACCCTCAGGTACCTTCCCGTAGACGGCGTCGAGCTCGTCCATGTTGACCTTGTTCTCCAGCTGCTTCCACTCGCCATCTTTGTATCCCCAGGTGGAACGAATTCGATACTTGGGGTAGCGAGGTGCAGGTGTTCTGAAGGTCTTTGGGTTATGGGCAACCTTGACGTGGGGATCACCATTCACAGTAACCCATCCAGCCTTCAACAGTTGCTCTTTCTTCATGCCTTCAAGAGGGGGATCCTTGGTTAGGATCTCTGCCAGCCATGGTGGATGATCTCCCTCGTCCGCCGCAGGTACCGGGACTACACCGTCTGGAGCTCCTGGAAGTGGTCCGGCTGCTGCGGCATGCCCTTTCGGGCAGCTTATGCGTGAAAATCCTGCTGCAAGGAGCAGGTAGGCGCCATTCGTTCACCTTCATCGCGATGCGCTACAGCAGCTGGGTGTCCGGAATCATTCCCAATACTGCTGAACACTGGAACATTCCCCCGTAGCGTGCAAGTGAGCTTCTGGCCATCGGGCTTCACGAAGTACGGAACTTGCCCTGGAGGCCAGTAAAAACCGTACCCTTGCTGCATGCACTTCTTTCCCACAGAGCAAACCGGTGGGGTATCCGGGAGTTCCACGAATTCCAGGCTGCCATTCATTGGCGGAACCTCGACTTCTGTCCTGGACGATGCCTCCACGATGCCATTGGCCGTGTGAAGGTTGACTGGCGTTGCGTCGACTTTTCTACCGACTCCTTCGAAACACTTTCTCAAGTCCGAAGAGCTGATAAGGTCCTCTTCACTTCCCGTATCGGCAATGATGTCCAAGCTCTGAAGTTCCTTGCGCGCTGGAGCGGCAGTTCCTGACATTATATTTCCTGCTGCACAATGCCGACAAGCGAAATCAGGCTTGCAGCAGCGATGCTTGCATTTTGTCTTTTCACCATGGAGTTCCGAGTACACTGAGGCCTCAAGGTTTTGTGCGTTGATGACTGCACACTGAAGATCACCAGGGTCGGACATAGGGCAATCAGCATTGGTTTTGAACCTTGCCACACATTTGCGCTTATGGGGAACAAATTTCCAACCATCTCCGACGCTTTCAACTGGGTGTATCTCAGGGTGCCTTTCAAAACACACACTCATGTCTTTAGGCTTCAGCTTGAAACTCGTAATGCCCGTCCAATTGGGCAGAGGTGCTTGCTTGTCGCACGTTTTCCAATTGTACTGTAACGTTCGCTCTTCGCCGGTTTTCAGCTTCATGGTGATGCTCGCAACAGACTTGATTCTCCATGCTGGAACGGGGCAGCTTTGGGGAATAAAATAGTTGTTTCTCAGAACAACATGTTCCCTAGACAGCGTGAGTGACTTCTCATCAAGACGCCATGTGTCTGCATGCCTACCATCCGGCTCACCCTTTCGGGCGGCTAAGGCGTACACGCAACAGGCAGCTGCTTTAGCTTCTGTCCTCTTCTTCCGGCTCGGCCTTCGCTTAGCCGGGGAGGGTGCACGTGCCTTAGCCTTGGCCGGGACAGAGGGCGATGCGGACTTGTCCTTGTGCAAGAACTTGCATTTGTCCCCATTCCTGCAAGTACCCTTGGCATAAAATACGCATGGGATATTGGAGGTATCTTTGCTGTTGCTCTTCTCTCTCTCGCGAGAACCTGACTTAGGCCGGTTGGGAGATCTCTCCCTTGAGGATGCTTTGGGGTCTTTCGTGTGTTCATACTTGCAACGCTCCCCAAACTTACACTTACCCTTCTGAAACAACATGCAAACCTGCCTACCCTGACGTCCTCTGGATGGCTGTCGTCGCTCCGAGGGAGCGGGCGCCGACGGCTTCGCAGGGGTAGGAGGGGCAGGTGCACCATACTTTGCGCCATGGGCCTTAGCAATCTTGTCCCTGTTCTTCCTAATTCGTTCTCGTGTGAGGAGATTCTTGATGCTTTCCATGAGGAACTTGTAGGTGTGCTCAGGGGTCCCCTCACGAGCCCGATCGTAAATGTCGAGATCATACTTCAAACGATGGGACTTGCGAAGCTCACGAAGGAATATGTCTCGCAAAGTGGTTTCGTCTGGAGGATGCGACAGTCCAGCAATCACTGAATCCCAGTTATGCACGAAGGTAGCGAGGTCATCATTGATCAGTGCCACTTTCAAGAGGTCTTCGACCGAGTAGAGGGAGCCAACTTCTTCGTTGGTTTTAAAGTAGGCTTCAAACATTAACAGCACTTGCCTACCTCTCACTGCTCTACCACAGGTGGCCTCCGTCTCCTTGTAGTTGAGTATTTGTCTCGCAAGCTCGCCCTTCGCCACCCTAGACAATGCTGCAAGGATTTTGGTGTCTAGCGTGAGGAATTTCCCTACATCGTTGAGGCTATCTAGTGAAGCACCCTTTGCGTACACCTGCTGAATCCACGCAAATGCTTCATCAGGGTGATCAGATGCTGCTCGAACAGCCTCACGCACTGCCGTCTTCCACGATCTGTACGTCTCCGCTGAGGGAAAATCCGGAAGTTTCACTGTCTCGGCTTCCTTAGTCTTAGGTTTCGTCTCATCCTTGGTAGCAAAGTCCTTGAGCGCTTTTGCAATCGCTTCATGCACTTCATTAGGGGCCTGCGAAACAGGAGTAGATGCCCCCAGATTAAACCTCTGGGGTCGTCTCTCAAAGAGACCCTTCATGCTCTCTGGAATCTGCAACGGATTTGGCAAATCAGCATGCGTGACATGTGCATTACCGCATGCGGCACCCCCTTGCGGGGGGCTTGCTTCGGCAGTGTTCAAACCCGGTGGAGGTGCTGAGGCCATGGGAACAGCCTGCTGGTGCTCGGCACCACCTTTCGGCAGGCTAGATGACGCTGTAGCGGTTGCCTTAGCCTCATCAAGCTCAACCATCAAACGCTGGTTCGACTCAGCCAACTCCTGAATCAAGACATCACATGCACTCTCTTCTTCATGCATGGCATATGTGAACATGTTCTCTTCATACTGCATTTGCTCTCTAAATTCGTTGCCTAAGAATTCCAGCTGGGTTTCCCTGTTTTGATCGTACACAACCCTGAGGTTAGCAAGGGAAAATTCACTCTGTTCGAGATGGGTCCTGAGGCGAGTTTCCGATTCGAGAACCATGTTACCTCGTGCCTCAAGCTCGAGATTGTGCATCCTGAGTGTGTGTGCGTCCTGCGCGGCTTGGTCAAGCTCCGCCGTTCGACCTCTTAGTGCTGCCTTGGTCTCCAGTAGTTGCTGTTGTAGCTCACGAACCACAAAGTCCATGCGGTCACTGATGACTTCAATCCGTGCGCGATGTTGGGCATCAGCGTGTTGCTCGAGCTCTCCCATTTCTGCACGGGCCTGTCTTGTAGCCATGTCCAGGATTTCCGCATGTCTGCGTTCGGCTTCGATACGAACTCGCTCTGCATCCTCGTTTTGTTGCACGATGATCAGCTGCTGCTGTACCCGGTACTGGTTGAACTGTTGGTAGTTGGTTGTTGCAGTCTGATCATGTTGCGCATTGGGATCAATGGTCCCATCTTGCAGCTGCAGAGCCATCGTGTGAGACTCTACGGCTGATAACCTGAAGTTTTCAGGTCAGCACATGAGGGAACATATAAACCGTTAAGTACGCCTCTTTTTATCGGCAACTTGAGCCACAGTCAAGGGTAAAGCGATAGTATGCACAGCTCGCAAAAGGAGTGTAATTCCTCCATGAAAAACTACAGACCCTAAACCCTAAACTCACTCTAACTCACTTCGGCCCAGGAGCGTGCTGCTCTTTCACGTCGGCAAGCTCCGCCTCCAGGAGCTCATTCAGTTCCTGGAGCTCGCTTTTGGCTGCATCCTCGGGTTGCGGTTTAGGGTTTAGGGTTTAGGGTTTAGGGTTTAGGGTTTAGGGTTTAGGGTTTAGGGTTTAGGGTTTAGGGTTTAGGGTTTAGGGTTTAGGGTTTAGGGTTTAGGGTTTTGGGTTTAGGGTTTAGGGTTTAGGGTTTTGGGTTTTAGGGTTTAGGGTTTAGGGTTTAATTAGGGTTTAGGATTCAGGGCTCAGGGGGTCCTAACTTTTGGGGTTTCGGCTTTCTTGGCATTAGGAAGCCGAAGGTTACAACAACAAGTGGCAAAAGGTTTAGGGGTTTAGGTTTCAGAAGTTGGGTGACGCAGGGAATAAGCCGGTAAAAACCGACCAACCCCCAGAAAATGTGCCGGGGGGGTTTACTAAGCTTGGGCTCCCAACAAGGCAGGGTTTGGAAGTTTGAGGTTTCGGATGAACCCTAAACCCTAAACCCTAAACTGGCATTGGAGGGATGGTGGGCTTAAGTTGTTGGACAAAGCCTCAAGTTGAGCCCTGAACCTGTAGGGTTTAGGTTTCGGGTTTCGGGTGTAAACTCTTCTAGGTCTTTGGGGCATTAGGCCTTGTCCCTATAAACTATAAACACAAAGCTGCTCTTAAGACCATCGCCACGTCGCTGTTTGCGCTGAGGATGCTGCTGCCCTGGCGAATCTCGGGTTCAGGGCTCGGGTCTGCGCATGAGTAACCCTAAACCCTAAACCCTAAACCCTAGACCCTAAAGCCCCTCCCCACTGGCTGGGCCTCTCATCCTCGCCGGCTGTTCCTGCCGGAGATAACGGCAAGACGGTTTGAGGCTCTGCCCCTTCGGCGACAACGTTCAGTTACCCTGTCAATGCGTAGCGGCAACGCAAACTACAGAGAACTTCCTTTGTCCTAAGCCCTTCACGACACATGCACACATCCCCCCCCCCTCTGGGCCCTGCTTGTCGCCTTCAACCATCTCCGGATTGAGCTCCCAATCTTCAAAAGCCTCATCCTTAGGTGGGATAATTCGGAGGCTACGGTTCTGTGAGCCGGAAACCTTCTCCCTAAACCCTAAACCCTAAACCCTAAACCCTAAACCCTAAACCCTAAACCCTAAACCTAAACCTTAGTCCCTCTCGAAAAAAACACAAATACAAGTTCCCCCCTCAAGGCACGGCCAAATCCATTTCGTCGACTTCGTAGGGTGCCTGTGAGGCTTCTTACATGTGTCTCTCACAAGGGTTTAGGGTTTAGGGTTTAGGGCTTGCAAGAAGGCCCTTGAGTCTCTGTGGCCAAGTCAAACATGGACCAGTGGATGTCTGATTCGAATCCCTGCATGATCCATATGTACCACTATACCAAGTTTCATCAACATTCTCACGCAATCCCCCTTGAGCACAAGCAACAAAACCTCACTAAATCCGGGCTCACATGCACAGTTTTAAGTGTACAAAGGTGTGCAGGGTTCGGGCCAGCTCCAGAAACCTGTTTTCTCCAAACCCCCCCCGAACCTCCCAAACCACCAAACCGAAATCCAGAAGCCCTTACGGGGACTACCTGGCCCTGAACCTTAAACCCTAAACCCTACAGTTTACTGTTTACAGTTTACTAGTAACTACCCCTTTTTTCAATCAGTAGCCACAACCCCAGAAACTGTAGGTAAAGAGAGTCTCATGTAGGGCTTGTCAGAGTGTGCCTTCTTCTCAGCGGCAGGTTTCCTCCGCCGCGGCAGTGGGTCACGATCCTGTGATTCAGAGGCTTTGGGTCTAGCCATGTATAAGTACATAGAGAGTCGCTGCTTCTTGATACTAGTATCGAAAAACAGTACATAGAATATGTACATGCAAACAGACTTTTCAAAATAGACCTCTGACGCTCTATCTCCTGAAGATTTAGGGGTTTAGAGCTTGGGATCCCGCAAACCCTAAACCCTAAACCCTAAACCCTGAACCCTGAACCCTAAACCCTAAATCTTAGAGAGAACCCACAGGCCTGCGCCGCGATGTCGACCACCATCTGGAAGGCCGGATCTGCAAATGGCGCATTTCGCGGTTTAGGGTTTAGGGTTTAGGGTTTAGGGTTTAGGGTTTAGGGTTTAGGGTTTAGGGTTTAGGGTTTAGGGTTTAGGGTTTAGGGTTTAGGGTTTAGGGTTTAGGGTGTACCGTATGGGCCCGGGTGGAGCCATTGGCTGTCAAAACCGAAGGCTGAACTCCCAAGGTTGGGATGCTCCCCCTAATGCTAGCAGTCCTAAAAAATAGAAATAAAGTAGTAATAATAGTAGTAATACTAATAATAGTAATAATAATAATAGTAATAATAATAGTAATAATAATAGTAATAATAATAGTAATAATAATAGTAATAATAGTAGTAATAAGAATAGTAGTAATAATAATAGGCATGATAGTGCCCCCCATTATAAGTCTTACAGGAAGGACTGTCAGCATAAGGGGGGGCATCCCAATCTCGAGCCCCCAAACGGCGCACTGAAAAGGGGGGGGGGGGGGGGGGGGGGTGTTCCCGCAAAGTGCGTACCTATCTTTTGGTTTCCTCCAATTTCATCACTGTCATATTACATATACATATATATGCGCAAAAAAAATTCGGGTATATACAAAGATGCCCGGAAGAAGTACCCAGCCGGGGCACTTCTTAGCCACACCAGTTTCTCTTGCTCCACAGCCAGGGATGCAGCAAGAGTAATGGCCATGCATTGCCCTCGTAGCTTTTTCTGCCTTGGGTTCTTGCGCAGGCTAGGGGAGTGGACCACTAGTGTGCTGCACATGAGCCACCTCAAAGAAGCTGAGACGAACTGTAGACCGAAAGCAGAGCGAAACCGCAAAAACCCATCACACCAATCCTTGATGGATGAAGATCGGGACCCAAAACCCTAAACCCTAAACCCTAAACCCTGAACCCTGAACCCTGAACCCTAAACCCTAAACCCTAAACCCTCGTCACCCTGTGCCCTCAGGACCGCGGGCACAGCAGATGCAGCGCAGGCACCCAGAGTCAGTTCGCATGATGACGCCGTACTCTTCGTTGTATGTGCAATGGCCTTCGATGCCCAGGAGAGGCTCCTGAGCAGCTGCATTGTGGGTCTTAGCTCCGGTGGCGGTTGCACCCCGCCTCTGAGTGCGGGGGAGAGTATAGACCCGAAACCGAGGGGCCCAGTGTTGTCTGATCAACCCCATGTTTTCTGATATGGCTTTGCTGGCTTAAGTGCCCATGGCCCACACCCTTCTGCAAGCATGCCGCATGCACAAGCGTGACGCTGCCTGGTGACTCGTGCTTCCTACGCGGGGTCCCTGCACATGCGCGTCGCCGAGGCCCGAGGCCCGGACTAACTTGGTGTACGCAGAGGGGCCGTACTCGACGAGGTCTTTAATCTTTTGCCAGCTCTCTTGGTCGGTAAAGTTATTGTAGAGGAAGGTTTTGGCACACCTGGAGCATGGTCTTGGAGCTTCTCGGGTGTCGGGCTCATGGCGGGCAACCTCCTGACATCTACACCCTACACCCTGCGCCCTACACTGCCCTAAAGCTAGACTGAAGACTCGAGAGTAACCTAAACATAAACAAGGCACCTTTTGTGGTTTGAAGGGGCTTATAAGGGAACACACTGCACACCCTAAAACCTAAACCTGAAAAACATAGGAATATGGAACTGCTCTGGGCCCGAGGAACCCTAATCCCCAAACCCTAAACCCTAAACCCTAAACCCTAAACCCTAAACCCTAAACCCTAAAGCCACCGAGGCGCGTCAGCAGGGCGCCCACTTGTGGCAAATTCTGGTTGAGACTTTCGACAGCGCAGTACAGCCTCGGCTGCGATTTAGGGTTTAGGGTTTAGGGTTTAGGGTTTAGGGTCTAGGGTCTAGGGTCTAGGGTCTAGGGTTTAGGGTTTAGGGTTTAGGGTCTAGGGTCTAGGGAGCTTGAGGCTCCGGGCTTGGGGGTGCCGGGGAGTTGGGCAATCCCCACAGATCGGGGTGTGCAACTGTCTGTTTGTTGGCTTTTGCTTTCTCTGAAGGGGTGAGATGTTCGTAGTGTGTGTTGCGTGGGAGGGACCTCTGTGTTGGGATGATTGGACCCTAACTCATTTCCCCAAGACCTCACACAGTAAGCTGGGAAGCCTTTTTGGGATCAACAGTAACCGAGGATTGAAACGGGCTTCCTGTGCCTTGTTTCGGGTTTAGGGCTTAGGGCCACCCACCCCGAACAATAAAGTGCCCATATTTATTATATGTTAATAAGGCCCTTTCGCCGCTAATTTCCTGTATTAATTTCATGCGTACCCCCGCCCCCCCCCGCCCGACCAAGGCAAAAAAAAGGGTACCACAGCGAGATACAGCCATGGGAGATCACTGGATAGCCCTACAACAAGAAGAAGGGTCCTCTGTTTTGAGTGTACGGGAACCTGGGACCTCTTGGAATGGGTTTAGGGTTTAGGGTTTATGGTTTACATTGAAACCCAGACCCCCCTTAAGCCGACCAGCCGAAAACCTAAACACTAGACAGTATGAGTATCCCAAAATATGCAGGCGTTCAGGGTTTAGGTTTTTAAGTTTAGGGTTTAGGGTTAGGGCTGAGGGCTTAGGGTTGAGGCCAATGTGCTACCAAGGGGACACCGACTGGTTCGTGCGGATGATGTTTCGACGGCTGAAGGTGGCCCGGAGCGACTCCACCTCGAGACAGCACTCGGCTTCGCGTTCTTAGGGCTCCGGAGGGTGTTCCCCCTGATACGAACAGTCCTTAATAGGGATTGCAATACCCCCGGAGAATAACCCCTGTTAAGGATACTGTAAGGCTTTAAGGCTCAGGGTTTAGGGTCGGCTGCTGGGTGTAGGGATGCCCCCCCCCCCCCCCGAATACTAACAGTTCTTAATGGGGATTATGGTACCCCCTATATCATCGAATCATCTTCCGAAGAACATCCCGAGGTGTAGGGTGACACTAAACCCTAAACCCTAAACCCTAAACCCCTAAACCCCTAAACCCCTAAACCCCTAAACCCCTAAACCCCTAAACCCCTAAACCCCTAAACCCCTAAACCCCTAAACACCTAAACCCCTAAACCCCTAAACCCCTAAACCCCTAAACCCCTAAACCCCTAAACCCCTAAACCCCTAAACCCCTAAACCCCTAAACCCCTAAACCCTGAACCTGTAGGATGGAGGGTTTAGGGTCCGAGTTTTGTGGTTGTTTGCTTTTGTGCGATGGGGGCCTTTGGAGGGCTTTCTGGCCTTCGGGGTCATTTGGGGGCTTGGGGCGGGGGGCCTTCTTCGAGTTGCAAGGGTTCAGGTTCAGGGTTCAGGCTTCAGGGTTTAGGGTTTGGGGTTTGGGGTAACTTGAGGGTTGTCTTTCGGGTTTAGGGATTAGGGTTTGAGGGCTAGGGTGTGGCGCCTTCCTGGCTCATCTCGGAAGCCGTAGACCCCTTAAACATCGTAACTCGCAAATACGGCCCCGCACACCTTGTCACCAGATCTAATGTTGACCTCGAATTAGTAAACCCCCCCCTCCCCCGTCTCAATTGACTTTTGCTTCCGCCCCGACCCCCTATTGGGGGGGGGGGGGGGGGCAGGGCTGTCCTTAAAAAACCTGACCAGCCCCCAACCCCCCCTGCACCCTGTACCCTGAACCTACCTTACCTGGACCCTAAACCCACCCTGAACCTTATCTGAATCGGGATGTTAAACCCTAAGCCCCACTCTGACAGGGTTGGTTTCAGGGCTCCAGGATCTAGTTCAAGGCCCGGGCAATCGCTTCAGAAGGGCAATTCTCTATGGAAACCCCCCCCCCCCGCAAAAAAAGGGGCCGCGATTCCTTAATTGAGGGGGGGGGGTTATAACTAAGTTCCGGGATCCGGATTCCTTAATTGAGGGGGGGTTTAGAAATCTTAATCTGAGGTTAACATTACCCCTGGAGTGGCTCGTCGCGCTTTGCTTCCTCTGGCTGCTTCCTCTGTTTCGTTTGGATGCTCCCCCTTCTACAGAAACAGTCCTAAATCGGGAGAATAAGGGTTTTCGGGCTCCCGGTTTCTTTGGGGGGGTTACCAACGCCCCTCCATTCCCTTTTCACTCCTCAATTCATATTTCAAACGTTTCGAATGCTTTTTCAAGGCAGGATTCGAAACATTGGAAAACTATGCATTTTTAAGATTCTCTAAGCAAATCATCTTTAGGTGCCTTCGATATCCGCTTCTTCGCGCCACGCCTGCCAGTTAACCCGCACGCTTGCCTTGCCGAAGCAGCCAGGGAAACCCTGTAGCGGGGTTGGCATCAGAAAATCCCGTATGGCACGGTAGTATAGGATCCTAAACCCTAAACCCTAAACCCTAAACACGCAGGGTCCCCCCAAGAGCATTCGGCTGAGGGCCTCAAAGGAGCCAAGCGGCAGCTTCTTGCGAGAGTGGTCGCACATCTTCTGCAGTGTCGTCTTCCTGCTGTGCCGCACTCCTGTTCAAGGGTCCCGTTACGATCGCATCAGCGAGTACTTCTGCACATGGCCTACCACGGACAGCGCACCCTCTAGGACTCTGTGATATAGATGTAGATATAGATATAGAGATAGATATAGATACAGATATAGATATAGATTCTTATATGTAGATTTTCGAAATATCAACCCAGAATATGAGTCCCTTCGTTCTTGCATGTTCTCGGCATCTGAACAGGGGTCGCCCTCTTGTCCTGCTCGAATCAGCACTCGAAGGCTGAGCACGCCTCGCATCAGTGCAGCTACTTGTGGGAGTTTCCGACTATAGGGGTACCCTTTTTGGGGGGTCCTCTACGGGGATTCGGTTCCATTTGGGAGATAAAAGGGTGCCCCTATTTTGGGAAATGTCCACTTACAGAAAATGACCTGCTAGCCCCCAAGCACTCCTCCAGGCAAGCGCAAATCACTAAATTCCTTTGACCCAAGCGTAATTATGTTAGTACATGTTGTTTTTATTCATATGTTATTCTATTCATATATTCTTCTGATTGTATGATTCTACTCGTCATCCTTGTATCATTATATCAATAGATTGTTGTGAAAATAATACCATAGTATTTTATTTTTGTATTCGTATACTGCTATAGCAGCATTGATTATATACTATTATTTGATTGCATCACTTTCTTGCTATATTATGTTCATTATTGAATTTACTTATTCTTATATGATGATACAACAATAATATTGAATTGATATGTGATTGTATTGTTCTATGACCAGATGATTAGATGTATATATCATTTTATTGTTGCACTATTATATCATTCTCATACTAATTTACAAAGTTACTATATTAACAGGTTTTATACGATTGCAGTCCTATACAAAATATAATATAATATAATAATATTATACTACTATTGTATGAATAAGATTCTATTGTATATAGTATAGTATGATAATAGTATATTGATAGTATGATTATACATAGAAATATGTATACAGATAATTATTTTTGTTTATACTATTATCTTAGTAGATTTCTGTCTTGCTACATTCTTATATATTAGCATATGATTAGTTTATGTTTTTGTTACATACCTGTTTTTATTGACATATTGGTTCTTGAAAATTGAACTAAAAATCTACTGTCATTTTGTTACTGTACTACTGTATGAGTATATAAATTTATATTCTGGCATTACTATATATATCTACTTTTATGGGATTAAAATACTTCTATTTCGTGTTATATGCTTATATTAGTGAATATTCTTATGTTAGTATCCCATATTGTTCTTCTAGAATTGCATGAATATATTGCTGTAATACTATATTGCTATATTGCTATTTTACTATATGACTATATGACTATACTACTGTACTACTATATTGCTATACCTACTATACGATTATATGATCATAGTATATTATTTGAATATTTTTGTTAGTATGTTTCTGTATTTTACATAGCTCTAACATTATATTCTATTTTCTATAAGCATTATTTCATCATGACATGGTGATATATTGTGATACCATGATTTTGTTCCATTGCAGTAGGGTAATGTTGTTACAACAATAAAAATCGTCCTATTGTTTCATTTTTCTATTCGTATAATATTCTGAAACTATGTTATATATCTACACCCTCAAACACTGACTTAGTTGTCCAGTAACCTGGGGGAACTAAAGATTAACCTTTGGGATTATAAGGGGATTATACCCTTAAACCCTAAACCCTAAACCCGAAACCATAAACCCTAAACCCCAAAAAGGTTCGAGGTTGCCTACTCTACAACTAAGATGCGGCCTTGGCGGTGGCTTCCCCTCGTCTGCCTTCCACGGGGCGAGCTTGAGCTTCTTGGGCGCGATGACACCTTGGGCTTACAAGGCTGGGGGTTTAGGGTTTGAGGGTTTTAGTAATTTGGGTTTAGGGTTTAGGGTTTAGGGTTTGGTTTCAGGTTTTAGGCGTGCAAGTTGGGGATGTTCCCCCTTGTACTAGCAGCTCCTTCATAGGGACTCTGGTACCCCCCCCCTATTCGAATCCCTACAAAGGACTGTGAGTACAAGGGGGAACATCCCAGCTTGCAAGTATGGTTTTAGGTTCTGGGGTTAGGGATGAAGGGTGTTGGGATTGAACTGGTCCCGAGTTCCGGTTCCATACTCGTTGCAAACGGGTCACCTGGCCTGGCGAGCATGACCGATTGCAGTACTTAATTCTGGGATTCTGGGGGGGGGGGGTGTGGAGAACTCAGCTCATATGTCGAGCTGACATCCTGTGAGAAACCTTTCATGATGGGCAATGAGACCTTATAACCCTTTAAGAAAAGAGCCCTAAACCCTAAACCCTAAACCCTAAACCCAAAACCCAAAACCCAAACCCGGGGGTTACAGGGCAGAGCCCCTTCCTGGCTGGCAATCACCGGGCTGCATCGGGACTTTCAGCAAAGGTGCGGGGGCAGGCTGCCAGCTCACTGCCCCTGCGCAAGGCACATAGGGTTTAGGGTTTAGGGTTTAGGGTTTAGGGTTTAGGGTTTAGGGGCCTGAAAAATTAGAATAGGTTTTTTTTTTTTTTTTGGGGGGGGGGGGGTTAGTATAGTATAATTGCAAAGGTACGATAAGGGAATATTATTCGTAATTATTCCGACCCCTATAGTAAACTGACATGTGACATCCAAGAGAACTTGGGGGTTTGCGATACTAGGGGTACCATATGGGGGTCCTTATTACAAGGGGATCCTACTATCTGGGGTCCCGAAAGCCAGGCAGATTCTGTGGGCGTTCAATGTTTCAAGGTCCAGCGTTGGTTCCCCTTACTATACTAATATGGCCCTTATATTACCTTTAGGATCTTCAAAAAGGGTCCCCAAAACCCAAGTGTACAACCTTAGGGGTCCAAGCAGAAACCCAAAGATGGTTGGTGTCGCGACAAAGTGCCAAGACCAATGCTGCAACTCAACACGCGGAGCTCCCAAGAAAAAATGCCACCCTACCGCAATTCTCAGCTGTCAAAACTCCAAAACAACCCTAAATCCTAAACCCGAAGCCCTTGTATTTTCAACCCGAAGGCCACGTGATGGCGCAAATGCAGACTGCAAGCAGGGCTCGTTCATGCGCTTCCGACCTTCCTGATCCCTATACTAAACACTGAACCCTAAACCCTAAACCTTAAACCCTAAACCTTAAACCCCAAACCCTGAACCCTAAACCTTAAACCCTATAATCCCTAATGCTTGGCCTCCGTGGCTGAGCGGGCCGGCTCTCGTCCCTGCATCAGGAGACAGCATCTTCCGAGTAGAATGCGCTGTTCGTAGGGTTGCAGAGGTGCAGTTGCGGGTGTTTAGGGTTGAGGGTTTAGGGTTTAGGTCTGAATTTGAGGGCTTTGGAGTGAATGTAAAGTCCCGTTTTGGGCTTGCTAAGGGAAGCCTGCGGGCAGGGGCAACGTACCCTACATGAAGCCAATCAGGGCTCCCTTTAGCCCCCCACTGTCTGTTTTACACTGGGCCGATTTGTTTTTTTGGTTGGGTGTGTCGATGCTGGAAACGTTTTCAGACTTCACTGGCAGTCATGGCAATCATCATTGCGAACAGTACTTCGCAACAACAAGCGAGAGGATCCGAAGTGTCGGCAAGCAACAGCCGGAGTTACTGGGGGGACAGCTTCAGCAGCTTTGGATTCCACAAGTGACGGAAACTGATGAACTGTTGCAACAGAAGCTTCTGCAAAATCTGAGTCAGGCTCAAGGGGACGCGCGCTACTGCTCTGACCCCTTTGACATTTTTTGACCACTTCCAAGGCGACGTATGAGGATTTCCGGAAATAAGGGATCCCTAATATAAACCCCCAAATGATAACATCCCCTTGAAAGGACCCCCGAAAAGGGTACCCCTCTTTTCGGAAACCCCATGTGTGAATACCTCGGCCGGTCACCGAAAGCGCTCTCCCCTAAGGGCGGCGGCAATGGAGTCGTCATCGTAGGGGCACTTGAAGATGCCCATGTGCATGTCAAAGAGCTCCTGCTCCGTGTTCTTCCGGTCCCTGCCTCGGATGGCCCGTAAATCTCTGAAAAATCTTCTTCGGGGTTTTTGGGGTTTAGGGTTACGGTTGCTATGACCCTCTTGAACCCCCCCAAAAAAGAGACAAAATAGACAAAAGTATCCCAGTCAGGGCCTACCTAGCTGCTGTCGTAGCCGAGGAAGCGGAGCACCTCGGAGTTTCCGCGCATGGCCTGGTGGAGCTTGGGATCCGTCCGGATCTCCGGGGCGGTGTGCGTGATGGCCTTGCTGTCCTGCTTCCTGGGATGCTCCGGGCTTCGGGCTTCGGTAGGGCGGAGCTTAAGTTCAGTTGCCCGAAATCTGCGGAAAAGAAAAACAACCCTAAACTTGCTAAACGCCCTAAACACACTAACACCCCAAACAACCCTAAAAGCCCTGAATACCCTTAACAACCTAACAAAAACCAAAAAAAAACCCTAAACAACCAAAAAAACCTCATCATAAAAACCTTAAAACAAAAACCTCAAAACACTCCACAGCAGACCGGCTTCAGGGCCTCGATGACCACAAACCCTAAACCCTACCTAAACCCTAAACCCTAAACCCCAGACCCCAAACCCTAAACCCTAAACCCTAAACCCTAAACCCTAAACCCTAAACTTGGAAAAAGTCTCCAAAAAGTCTAAAGAAAGTCTTTCCGGCACCCCCCCCCCCTCCCCGGAGAGTTTTTTAGAGTTCGAGACTTTTCCTTGGAAAAAGTCTCCAACAAGTCTAAAGAAAGTCTTGAAAAGTCTTGCGGGCAGCGCCCCACCTCCCCGAGCCTCTTTTCTTTGCAAAAAAGTCTTGAAAGAGTCTCCAAAAGGACTTTTTCTAGACTTTTCTCGACATTTCAACGACTATCTTGAAGACTTTTCAAAAGACTTGTTTTAGACTTTTTAGACTTTTTGAAAACAAGTTTTTCCGAGGACTTCTCCAAAAGACTCTTTTACGACTTTTTTTGACTTTTTCAATAATCCAAGGTTTTATAGAGTTAACTAGGGAAGCCAACCACACAACACTAAACGCCCTGAACGCCCTAAACAGCCTAAAAAACCTAAACACCCTAAATGCCCTTAACAAGCTAACAAAAACCTTAAAAACCTATAAATAAACCTAAATAACCCAAAAAACCTGACAAAAACCTTACAGCAAAAACCTCAAAACCCTCCAGAGCAGCCCGGCTTCAGGGCCTCGATGACCACCTCCCTAAACCCTAAACTCTAAACCCTATACTCTAAACCCTAGACCCTAAACCCTAAACCCTAAACCCTAAACCCTAAACCCCAAAAAGCAGCCCGGCTTCAGCGCTTCGATGACCACCTCGAGGTCCGCCTGCAACTTTGGCGAGGCGAAGCGCAGCGCGGAGCCGCTGATGCCTGGGGGGCAGGGTAGGGTTTAGGGTTTAGGGTTTAGGGTGTAGGGTGTAGGGTTTAGGGTTTAGGGTTTAGGGTTTAGGGGTTTAGGGGTTTAGGGGTTTAGGGGTTTAGGGGTTTAGGGGTTTAGGGGTTTAGGGGTTTAGGGGCTTAGGGGCTTAGGGGCTTAGGGGTTCAGGGGTTTAGGGGTTTAGGGGTTTAGGGGTTTAGGGGTTTAGGGTTGAGGGTTTAATTTTAGGGTCCCATGCTGTGGAGGAGCTTCGGTTGGTTGAGGATTTTTTGGATTTAGGGTTTAGGGGTTTAAGGCTTCAGGGATTGGGGGTTAGGCCTTGTGGCCTTGTTGTTTAATGGGGTCAGGGGGGGGGGGGGCTTTGTAAGCGGAAAGGGGGTGCGGGGGGGCTGGCAAGCAGCACTTATCAGGGGTGGACCTTATACATGGGAAGTAAGATCGTTTCTTACTGATGGTAACTTGCCTGAAGTTCCTGAAATGGGTTCTTAAGGGAAGGGGCTCATTCCGGGTAGGTACCTAGGGAGCCTTTTGGGAAGCTTAGCTTAGGAAATAGTAGGAAGTCTTGGGGAACCTCGGGCTACACATCCCCCTTGAAGCCCCCTCCCTTAACAACCCTATAACTATAAACCCTAAACCCTAGCCCTAAACCCTAAACCCTAAACCCCTCAACCCCTTATAGCAGCAACCCAGATGCGCACGGCCAAGAGGACGACGGTGCGGTCGCCTTGGAGGCGCTGGGAAGCGAACTCCAGGGCGCCAGTATCTTGCTTCACGGCTTCCAGAACCTGGGTGGTTTAGGGGTTAGGGTTTAGGGTTTCGGGGCTGGCACCTACAGAACCCTTTAGAAAAACAATATCTTTGTGAAGGGTATTCCGAACTAAGATGCTCTTAAGACCCACACTGGGGAAATACAGGGAAGTACAAAAAACAGTGTTCCCAAGGGCCTGCCTAGGCACGATGTCCCGGTCACTCCGCAGGCGAAGGGACGCAAACTGCAGGGCTCTCCAGTTCTGCTGTATGGCAGTGAGAACCAGCGGCCGATCATTCCTAGTTCATGGTTGGGATAGTATTTAAATCATGTAAAGCTACCATTCCTCATTGAGTTTAAGTACCCTTGAAGATGTAAAATGTTACCCTAAACCCTAAACCCTAAACCCTAAACCCCAAACCCTAAACCCTAACCCTCAATCCCAGCTATGACAAAGACTCTGCATCTTGGCAGACAGCACCTGCAGGGCCATTCCGTCACCGCGGACCGCCAGCCTTGCCAAACCGTAATCCGCCTGCAGGTCGGGAGATGCCAAGGCAAGAGCATGCCAGTCCCGGTGCACCTTGCTCTTGGTTAGTGGGTTTAGGGTTTAGGGTTCAGGGTTTGGGGTTTAGGGTTTAGGGTTGAGGGCATCAGGCACTCTATATCCCCCTATAGAGACCCTTTCAGGGATTATATTAGTGGTACCTTCTTCCCCCTTCCCTACCAACCAACAGTAAGGCGCAGCCATTTTCACGATCTTTGGGTTGGCCCGCAGGCTCGAGGAAGCGTACTGCAGCGCGCGCCAGTTGCTGCGGAAGGCGCTGATGAACCTAGACTCCCCCTAGAACCGAAATAACAAGGGTTTAGGGTTTAGGGTTTAGGGTTAGGGCTATACTCCCCTTAGAGCCTCAATGAACTTTTTTTTTACATGTCCTCTTGGTTTTTATATGAGCAAAAACAAAAAAAAACAATTCCCAAGGGAGATATAGGAACATGTCGAGCTTGAAGTGCTTGTCCATGCAGACCACCAACCTACACTCCCCTTAGAACCTTACTACAAAATATTGTTTTAAATATCCTCTTGGGTTTTATATGAACAAAAACAAAAAGTAATTCCCAAGGGGGATATAGCAACACCAAGTTCAGGCGGCTCGCTCCCGCTGCCAGGTCCGTCACCAGCTCCTCTGCACATGAGGGCGGGACTGTATGTATTGGAGAATCACGTGCACGAGAGTGCATATAAGTATATGAGTTTATGTATAGATATACTTATATATTTATCTATATATATATATAATTAATTAATTAAGGGTACCTTCTTGGGGTTCTTACTATAGGGGAATCCATTTTGGGGGTCAACATTAGGGTCTCGGGCCCCCTAATTTCGAAAACCCCCATATGTCATTGCATAGAAAGGTACAGGCAAGAAGGCAAGAATTGCCCTAAACCCTAAACCCTAACCCCTAAACCCTAAACCCTAAACAACCCTAAACCCTAAACAACCCTAAACCGACCCCCAGTCCAGGTCGTCTGCATCACGGTCGCCGCAGAGCAAGCGCTGCCTCTGCCGCGCCACCTTCTCGCTGCGCTCCAGTAGCTTCTTTATGTCGACGATCCTGGGGAGGCCCATGGGTATATGGGGTTTTAGGATTTATAGGGTTTATAGGGTTTACAGGGCTTATAGGAGACATATAGGATTTATAGGGTTTATAGGGTTTATAGGGTTTATAGGGTTTATAGGGTTTATGGGGTTTATAGGATTTAGGGTTCAGGGTTTGGCTTCTTTACATCGACGATATTGGAGGCCAATGGGTACTTGGAGGTTCAGGGTACTTATGACTCCAATCAGAACTGTACTTCTAAGTCCCCCCTGAGTCCTCTAAGCATTTTACAAGTATACTTACAAATGGGGTTATGGGTTGCCATGCGTACGATGAGACGCGCAGCATGATCGTTCATATGGGTACTTCCCCAAATAGGGGTACCCTTAGTTGTCCAGTAACCTGGGGGAATTCAAGGTTAACCTTTGGGATTATAAGGGGGATTATACCACCCCAAAAAGGTTAAAGGTTACTTCCTCTACTACTAGGTACCCCTTCTAATGCCCCAAATAGAATAGAATCCCCCCAAAGGGACCCCCAGAAAGGGTACCCCCATTTTCGGGAACCCCGATAGAGACGCGCCCTATACATCTGGAGAAACCCTAAACCCTGAACCCTGAACCCTAAACCCTAAACCCTAAGCCCTAAACCCTAAACTCTAAACCCTACTGTAGACCTTGTGGAATGGCCGCGGGGGGGTGGGGGGGGGGAGGTTCGGAAACCAACTGAGGCTCTTGCGTTGGGGTCTCTGGCATCAAGGCAGAGATGTGTGAAAAAAAACCTACCAACCCCCCGGTCTCATAGTTTTTGCAACCTACCTAAGATAAGACCCAGGGGCGACGGGCGAAGCCCTTAAAGCTTAGGGTTTTAGGGTGAGAGGGCGCGGAGATTCTTGGGCATGATTCTCTCTTTGTTTGTCAGGGTTTACTCTATAGGCAGGGTCGCTAAAAAACCTACACAGTTCGGGGCCTCAGTTGTCTAGTACCCTAGGGGAACTCAAGCTTCACCGGATTCTAAAGTCCCCAAACGCTAGACCCAAAATAACCTAGGAATAACAAGGGTGCCCTTTTTGGCGTTAAGGGGATTACCAAAGGAACCCCAACCCTAAAAAAAGGAAATAAGGGCCAACTCCCGGTCCCGGAAAGGCTAAAGGTTGCCATACTCTACTGCCCCCAAAGAGCCCAATACCCCTTCATTAAGGAATATACATTAATTCACATTAAGGATCCCTATATAAATTCAGCAATATTTCCTAATTAAGGGGATATTGGGCTCTTTGGGCTAATCCAGGACATGGCACAGCCAAGTGTTGGAGGCGGAGACCGTGCGCAGGGGCCCCTGGATGTCGCAGATGTTTACCTCCACCGTGTGCTCGGCGTCTGCAGGCTCCTGGGGTGTAGGGGTTGTAGGGCTCAGGTGCTTCATCCCCTAAACCCTAAACCCTAAACCCTGAACCCTGAACCCTGAACCCATAACCCTTCCTTAACAGGGTTTAGGTTTAGGGTTTAGGGTTTAGGGTTTCGGGTTTAGGGTTGGGATGTTCCGCCTTATACTAACAGTCCTTGATAGCGATTCTAGTCCCCCTCTTAAATTGCAATCCCTAAGGGGGAACATCCCAATACAATCCCCTAGAATCCTATCCGATAATCCCCTTAGGGCTCCTAAAATCCCCGAAGCCTCAACCCTTTCACCCTCAATCACCCGAAAGCGTCCTCACCCTCTTGCGAGGACGTCTTCCGCTCTTCCATCTCAAGGCGCAGCTCCCTCTCCCTCCTTTCAGACATTCTTGAGTACAGTATGAGGTTTGAAGATTAAATTTCCGGGCTTTTGAAGGGACTCGTTGTGCACAAAGTCTCTGTTCAATTATGCATTGAGGTCGCCACCCTGCGCCCATAAAAGTTCGATCGACTTGCGCATGCTGCGACGAAAGCTGGAGGAGCCTTTGAATAATCTGCCGTGCCTACTCAGAGCCTCCCAAGGCTCTCGAATCCCCTGACTGAAGCATGTTTTGGGGGACCCTAAACCCTAAACCCTAAACCCTAAACCCTAAACCCTAAACCCTAAACCCTAAACCCTAAACCCTAAACCCTAAACCCTAAACCCTAACCCTAAACCCTAAACCCTAAACCCTAAACCAGGTTGTCATGATCACGGCAATGGCATTCGGCACCCCCGTCGCCTCCTTCGGGCAGCATCTATGCGGTGCTGCTCCTCGACCAGCTCCTGAATTCTGGGGGCCCTTTCGGGTCTCTGCTGCGACATCTTATCTTTAGTCGGTATAGTTTAGGGTTTAGGGTTTAGGGTTCAGGGTTTGTTTAGGGTTTGTTTAGGGTCCCACAAGAGGCCGGAGATTTAGATCGGCCCCGCGTGCGGCCAGATGTGAAGAAAGGCTGCTGGGGTTTAGTTTTAGGGTGATGAGTGAGCGCGCTGTCCCCAAATCATCCCGAATCCGAGCCGGTACTGCCACCTCGCCTCGAAGGAGTAGTCCGTCACTTCCTCCTCATCAAGCTGGGCACCTTCCTGCACATCCATGTCAATGACACGCCCTGCACAACATGTATCGGGGTAGCTACATTTTTGAACTGACCAGGTCTTGTATAAGAGTGCCTGGTCGCTCGGCGGTGCAGCCTCCCGCTCTTCCTCGGCCTCGGCCGCCTCGGCCGCCTCGGCCTTCTCGGCTCGGCGGCGCGCCTCCTCGCGCTCCACAGCCGCCCGGGCGGCGTCCAGGCGCCGCTTCTGCTCGGCCTCCTCGGCCTCGCGCTGCCGGCGCAGGGCAGCCTCCCGGGCCCTGGCCGCCTCCTGGGCGGCCGCCCGCTGGCGCTGCCGCTCCTCCTCCGCTAGGCGCTCCTCCTCCCTCCGGAGCTCCTCCTGCTTGCGCTGCTTGCGGCCCTTCTCGTCCTGCGGTTCACATCGGTTGCCGGCCCGTGGCTTCGAGCAGGCTTCTAGAGTGTGGAACAGATCGGGGAAAAGCTCGGAGATTGAGGAATCGATCTGAGCAGTTTCGGAAAGTTGCGGGGTTGGGCTTGCAAAGCTTGAAAGAATTGATCTCTCGCTCGTGCACAAAAGGCTACGGGCTACGGGCTGTTGCAGGGCCACCTCAGGCGGTGGATTTCAGTGGTGCTAGGTTCTATGGCAACTTCAGTACCACCCGAGCAAATATAGGGTATGATGATGAGGCATCTCTGAGCCGGGGATGCCAGAGTGCGTCACTGCCGTACTCATTTCCGCTGAGCCGATGCTTTCTCGAGGTTTGGGGGTACTGAAGTCCTCCTCCCAGCGGCTCTGCACCAGCAGGAACATCTCCTGGGCATGCGGCTGCCGGGCCTGCGCGTGCTTATCTGGGTGGAGCTCCAGCTGGAGGGCCCGCAACCGAGAACGCCTCTCGGTGGCTCCACAGAAGTCCACGATGGACAGCTCCTGCAACAGCCGGCCGCGTCGGCTTCGAGCCCACTCCGCTGCCTCTGCCTCAGCCTCCCCATCGTCCAAGTCCGTCCGTCTGCTGCGTGCAGGAATCTCTTCCACCGGCTTCCAAGGGAAATACTGCCCGGTTGGTGCATAGCCACCCGGCTGTGCAGTCGCGTAAGCACGGCGCTCCCGGGCGGCCTGCTTTGCAGCTTCTCTTGCGGCCTCCCTTGCAGCTTCCCGCGCGGCCTCTTGCGCAGCCTTCTTTGCGAGGCGGATAGGGTCTGCGTCGTCACGCGCAGTGTCGCACCATTCGCAGTGTTCTTCTGAGTCGCTGTTGTCCTCCAGGCACTTTGAACACTCCCACTTAGGTGCCATGCCTCATTGCGCCCAGGGAGTGGTTCGATGTAGGAGCTGATCTACTACACTGCAGGCATATAGGGGAGTAGTTCAGGAAACTCTGGTGGTGCTTGGACTACCCTGACGGTAAGAAGCTGTAAGCCTGGTGCACCGAGCCGGAGAAGCAGTGCCGAGAGCAAAACCATCACCACAGAAACTGAAGGCTCGATACCCCAGCCACCACAAACAGCAACAGTGCTCTGTCGCTACTTTGCGTCTCATTCGCTTACCTTAAACCCTAAACCCTTAAACCCTTAAACCCCATAACCCTATAACCCTATACCCTATAACCCTATAACCCTATAACCCTATAACCCTATAACCCTATAACCCATTAACCCTATAGCCCTATAACCCTATAACCCTATAACCCTATAACCCTAAGCCCAATAACCCAATAACCCAATCCAATAACCCTGTAACCCTATAACCCCTAAACCCTAAACCCTAAACCCTACAACCAACCCTAAACCCAAAAACCATGTCGAGCCGACGGCCCGGATGGCACCCAGATTGACGCACGAGCCCCCCCCCCCCCCCCCCCTGGGGCCATATGCCTCTGGGGAGTGAAGGCATTGAAGCGGCTCGTCCTTTCAACGGTAGGGTTTGGGGTTTGGGGTTTGGGGTTTGGGGTTTAGGGTTTAGGGTTTGGGGTTTAGGGTTTTGGGGTTTAGGGCTTTTCCGAAATGAGACACATACATGTGCTGAACTGCTGAATTTTATGCGAAGCGCGATATCGGTAAAAGAAAAAACCTGCTTGGAGAAAGCCGGCACACGCGCAGAGATGTAATGTCTACACTACCATGTCTGTATCTATTCTCTGTAGGTGGGTTTAGGCCTTACAAAGCTGTCGGATTCTAGGCTAGCGGGTTCATATTCAGGATTTGGGTTCAGGGATTTAGAGGTTTAGGGCTTAGGGTTTGGGGTTTGGGGCTTCGGGTCTGGGGTTTGGGGTTTGCGCTGTCAGGGTTGGAGTTTGGGATTGGCGAAGGCGCCTCTTGACCGGGCCCATCGCAGTGCGCTGGCAGGGCCAGGTGGGGGGCGGGATGTGTCAAGGACTGCCTACCTGAATACTGAAGGAAATAGAAATTGCCCTGATTACTTGTAAAATGTCTGCCCTCTACCGGAGCCCGGTGTTCAGTAAGGTTGATGGCTCACGACGGCGGGGGCTGCAGTCTGCGCATCGGGCCATCCGGAATGTCGTGTGAAGTACGTAGGGTCATATATTTCTTGTACCCCCAAAAGGACACCCGATAGTTACACTCGCCAAAATTAAAAAGGAACCTCATAGACACTCACCAATAACAGTAGTACAAACCCCACGTCATGTGTTCGAGCTCGAGCCCACTGGCCGGATGCAGGCAGGAGGCTTCAATCGGAAGGAGAGAACAGAAATTGCCCTTGGCAGCCCCCCAAATAACAAAGCCCTAATTGAGCGCTGCGCACCCTAAACCCTGAATCCCGGCAGTTGGCTCGCACCATGGGGGGCGAGCGGGGGCCCCGTAGGGCCGTAGGGAGGGCGCCGCATCATCCGACAACAGGAGGGGGGATCCACCCAAGTTACCGCGAAGAAGCGCTCGGAAACCGCGGCGGTAACCCGCCGGAAGCTCCGGAAGCCCCTCAACTACTCAACACTTGAACCCCAAAGATCGAGCTTCCCCGAAAGAGCACTGGCAACAAAGCTGGCTCTGCCTCAAGAGCCCCAAGCCTATTTTTTCGTAGGTTCCTACCACAACACCCTTGAAAAGCAGGCTCGGGGGCTTGAAGGGAACGCTTGACAACCCATTAATTAGGGAACTTGCTACCCCCCAACTGTAAACGCTCAAGCCCAAACCCTAAACCATCAACAAACCCCTACAGGCACTTGCAACGCTATGCCCCTCCCTGCTTGTTGGGGTCTGGGCCCCTGCTGCAGCACAGTACGATCGCAAGACCTGGGCTTCTTGGAGCAGTAGTATATGCAGGTTTGATCCACAGGCCCTCCTGGGAATTTAGCTAGGCTGCCGAAAAGGCTTGTAAGGGAAGATGGTCATTTTGGGAGCAAGTATTTCCATGAACTACCTGATACTTACTACAGGGTTGGAGTCTAGGGCCGGCCCCCACTGCAGGGGGGGGGGGGGGATGTTGTGATACGGATTTAGGGGAAGGCCCTGGGGTTGTTGATGGAAAACTCTATACATCCTAGAAACAAAGCCGGAAAAGGATATCAGGGCTTTTGGGGCTTTCCACTACCCGCGGTACTTGTGCGAAGAACTCCGTGCTTGTGCGACTCTGCTTTGTGGCCCTGTTCTAGGTACCTTTTTCGGAAGAGACATCAGCTGAACGAAGATGACGGTGCGCCCCATGCACCTCTTTAACCTCTTGAACCCTATGATGGCAAGTCGAGACCCTAAACCCTAAAACCCTAAAACCCAAAACCCCAAAACCCCAAAACCCTAAAACCCTAAAACCCTAAAACCCTAAAACCCTAAAGCCCTAAAACCCTAAAACCCTAAAGCCCTAGAGCCCTAAAACCCAGAGACCAACCTGCGAAATCCCTGTCTTTGGGCATCCAGGAGGGGCACCTCTTCCTCCGGGATGGCCGAGCCATCCTCCTCGCTGCCCAAGGCAGGGTAGCCGACCTGGGGTTTAGGGTTTAGGGTTTAGGGTTTAGGGTTTAGGGTTTAGGGTTGAGGGGTTAAGGGTTTAGGGTTTAGGGTTTAGGGTTCAGGGCTACGAATGGCACGAGGGGAGACCTGAAAACCTCCATAACCGCCTCAATGCCCCGCCCCAAGTATCAGCCTTGGACATCTGTAAATGGGCATATAAAGCCTTTAAAAAACCCCAAACCTATCACCAAATTGGGGGTTCGCCGCGCTTCGGTCGATACCCTTCGGCAGGCTGGCGTAAGCCACAAGAACCTCCACTGCCACTCACCTATATAAAGCCCATAAACCCTTCCAGAACCCAACCTTTTTGGCCAGGAGCCGTAGAGGCTCGGCCTTGAAAGCCAACACATAAAGCCTTGTACAAGTAGACCCTAAACCTTAAACCCTAAACCCTAAACCCTAAACCCTGAACCGATCAACCAAAAACTGCCAAGGAGGCGCCAGCCGCCCCAGCCCACCGAGGTGATAGGGCAGGCAGAGGTTGGCCAGGTCCTTTCGCGGGGCTTATTGGAGCACGGGTCTTCTCTCTTGCTCAGTCTTTACGGGTGTGTGGTTCAGGGTGTTATGTAGGGACTCTAAACCCTAAGCCCTAAGCCCTAAGCCAGAAAGGGGTGGACTACACCGACACCAGGGTCCCGTGGGGCTCACCTCCATGGTTCAGGGTTCCCCGACACCGACAGAGTGGATCCGAGCAGATGTTGCGGGATGCAGGGGGGCTTCTAAAACTTGGGAATACCCTCGTGGTGGCCCCTTTTTTGGGAGGCAGTCTTTGGGATGCTCCCCCCTAATACTGACAGTCCTTAATAGGGATTATGGTACCCCTATGATGATCCCCATTAAGGACTGTTAGTATGATAACTGAGTATGAGGGGGAACATCCCAAGGGCACTCTATTATATCTGGGGTGTGGCAGGAGTTGAGGGCTGGAAGAAGAACCCTAAACTCCCCGCCCTAAACCTTAGACCAAAAGCCCTAAACCTTAGACCAAAAAACTCAAGCAGCCTAAAACATAAAACCTACAACCTGAATCCCAGACCCTGAAACCCCGAAACCCTAAACCCAAAACAAATCCAAAACCATAAAACCTTAAAACCCTTAACCCAAAATCCCTAAAACCCTAAACCCAAAAAACCCAAAAACCCTAAACCCCAAAGCCCCAAAGCCCCAAAACCCCCAAACCCCAAAACCCCAAAATTCCCGCCCAGCTTTCTGGGCCCCCTGGCGCTCATCGGATGCCCAATGGTGCTCAACTCCCAATCAACCACTGCCTTGACTTTGAGGGCTCTTTAAGGGTTTGGGGGTCTCAACTTCTCCCGGCAGTTTGCCTGCATTTCGCTTCTCTTGTGTCGTGTGCTGGGCTGTTTGTCTTTCGTCGGGACCCACATTCTGGATATGTTTCCCACGATTCTTCTGAGTGCTCTTTGGGGTTTACAGTAAACCCCAAAAAGTTGGAAGCCTCTTTACGGACAAATCGTGCTGGGATTCCCTATCCTTTACTCGTAGGGATTGAGGCTATTGAGTTTCCAACTTTTTGGCTTCTACTATAGGGTTTAGGAAGTTTAGGCGATTGAGGGTTTAGGGCTGCGAGGGTTGAGGGCTTTTCTTGGGGCTGTAGGGAAGTAGGGCTGCGAGACATATCGGGTTCAGGGTTTTAGGGCGTAGGGTTCAGCCGAGCTGAGAGGATTTACGGGGCCCAAGGTTTGTGGGTTTAGAACGGGGTCTTTCCCTGACTCGGGGCTCAGAAGGGCCATGCAGATACCTTTCAACCCTAAAAAGCAGAGGCTTACAGGGTTGATGGGGCCGGGCTGAAGTTCACAGGTTTTTGCAGAGATGATCGGTTACAGGGTTTGCAGGCTTGTCGGGCGTTAAACGGGATTTCAAGACCACCGGAGCCCCATGCAAAATTACAAGGCTCAGCTCTACGAATCCAAAACCATGAGCCGAGCCCTCTTTGAATCCCACACCCTAAGCCCTAAGCCCTTCAACCTCAACCCTACAAGCCCAAGCCCTTCAGCCTCAAACCCGAAACCCTAAACCCAAAGACCTTCAACCTCAAACCCTGAGCCCTAAACCCTTCAACCTCAAGCCCTAAACCCTAAGCCCTTACACCGCAAACCCTAAACCAGAAGCCCTGAAACCTCAAACCCCAAACCCGAAGCACTCAGACCTCCTACCCTGGAAGCCGCCAGGCGACCAGCACTTTTGGCTGGCCGTCGGGGGAGAGGATGAGGTTGTCAGGCTTCCAGTCGCCATGGATCACACACGACCTTCGGAGGGTCTTTCTGCAAGGGCTCGAACCCTTGAGCCCTAAACCCCATAAGGAACCACGGGCTCTCAAACATGAAAAATGAGAACGAGAACTCAAGCTCAAACTTGACAAAATGAAGCTCAAACTTCAAAAACAATGCAGGAACCCGGAACTCTCATACCTGAAAACGTAGGAACCCAAGTCTCAAACTTGAAAATGTAGGAACCCAATCTGAAAAAATGTTTTTTTAGGCATCCCTACTCCCGGATGCCCTGTTTCGGGGCCTGCCCAAGGCGCCATGAACCCTAAGCCCTCAACCCTACATCTATGGCTTAGGGTGGGGTGCTACAGGCTTTTTTTGGGAAGAACGGCCCCTGCCCCCCCCCCCCCCCCCCCCAAAAAAAAAAAAAAAATAAATAATATATCAATATCAAACCTCAAAGAACCTGACCCTAAACCCCCGGAAGCCTGCAACCTTTAAACCGAAAGACCTAAACAAAAACCTAAACGCGGAGAGCCCTTACCACGCCTGTCCGGAGGCATGTTCGCCTCGAAGAGCCTGGCAGCAAATTAGGATTTCTATATTGGGGTCCCTTAGCGCGGGTGGTTAAAAGCATGCAGTTTCTGGGAATTAGGGTCTCTACCTGCTCCCTGAAAAACAGCTATGAAAGATGGATCTATACGTAGGTAATACCTAATGCCGTCTGGACATGAACCGGATGAATCGCCAAGAAAATAGCCCTAAACCCTAAGCCCTAAACCCTAAACCCTAAAAATTCCTAAACCCTAAACCCCAAACCCCAAACCCTAAACTTTCAAAGCTTGAACCCTAAAACCACGACATCTCCCCTTGCCTGATGAGCTCATCGAGGCGCTTCATGGGGGGGATGTGGCCGTCGGAGCCCGAGACCTCCCCCAAAACCACGCGCAAAGCCAAGACTCACGAACACCCCGAGGGTTGAGGGTTTAGGGTTATTAGGGCTTAGGGCTTAGGGCTTAGGGTTTAGGGTTTAGGGTTTAGGGTTTAGGGTTTAGGGTTTAGGGCTACTAGGGCTCAGGGGCCCCGGGCTGAACCCTAGACCGGAACCCTACAACAAAAGCCACTAAACCCCCAGACCCAAGCCTAAACCCTAAACCCCGAAACCCCTAAACCCCTAAGCCCCTAAACCCCTAGACCCCTAAACCCCTAGACCCCTAAACCCCTAAACCCCTAGACCCCTAAACCCCTAAACCCCTAAACCCCTAAACCCCTAAACCTAAACACCTAAACCCTTAAACCCCCTAAACCCCCATGTCCCTTAAACCCCTACGCCCCTGAAATGGACCCCGAGAGTCGCTTCCTGGCCTGCGCCTCGCTAGTCCGCTTCATGGTGCGGATCTGCCGCCTGTGGGTTTTTGGGGGGTGTTGGGGTTTAGGGTTTAGGGTTTAGGGTTTAGGGTTTAGGGTTGTTTAGGGTTGTTTAGGGTGTATTGTTTAGGGTTTAGGGTTTAGGGTTTAGGATTTAGGGGAGTTGGGGTTTAGGGTTTAGGGTTTCGGATTCAAGGGTGTTGGGGTTTTAGGGTTTGGGGTTCAGGGTTTAGGGTTTAAAGCCTTGGGCACGCAGATTTCTGAATGGGCACTTTGCGGTAGTTCAGAGTAAGCACATGGGGAGCATGATGGGGACTGTTTTGGTAATTGTTGAGGCTCCTGTCTTAGGGATGAAACGGACTTGGTTCAGGGCTTAAGTGTTTTTTTGGGTGGAGGGTTTAGGTGGACAGGACCCCCAGCTTTAGTTGAAGGATGTAGGGTTTAGGGTCCGGGTGTAGGGGTACTGTAGGGTTTAGGACTGTACCTAAAGCAGCATGTATGACCTACAAGCAGGGCGTACCTCCACCGCCGGGTATATTGGATTTCAAGGGGCTTATCCAGGTGTAAGGTCTCATGGAGGGCATCCTTACCGAATTCCATCAACATCCTCAACCCCTAAAAGCCTTAATTACACCCTGAACTCCTAAAAGCCCCTCCTAAACCCTAAACCCTAAACCCTAAACCCTAAGCTGCAGAACCTCGGTGTTTTGTGGTGAGCTGCCGAGCTGCTCGTAGAAGCCGCCCATCTTGCCATAGGGCTTTCCTCGTCAGGGCTTAAGGTTTAGGGTTTAGGGTTCAGGGTTTAGGGTTTAGGGTGTAGGGTCTTCACTAGGGCTTAGGGATGTTGAGGGTTTCGGGCAATCTGAGCGCAAAGATCCAGACTAGACCGCAAACAAAGCTCCCAATGCGAAAACACGCTAAAGGTACAACGTTAGTTTTTTGAAAGGAACACTATTTGGGGTTTCCGAAAATCGGCGTACCCTTTTAGGGGATCCCTTTAAGGGGATTTTCTCTATTTAGGGGTACAAAAGGGGTACCAACATTTTGGGCAATGCCTATTTGAACACTTCCTTGGCTTTGCGATTGGCAAGAGAAACCCAGAACTAACAACGCACGTGTGTGCATCCTGCGGCTGGCTCAGGTGTTTCATGAGGGCTGATAGGGCTGATAGGGGCGTATGGGGCTTGTGGGCCTTGTAGGGCTTACAGCTTATAGGGCTTATGGGGCTTAGAGGGCTCACAGTCTCGGCCTTATCGCTTCTAGGCTCATGGTGTAGGGCTTCTGGGGCATATGATAGGGCTTGTAGGGCTGATGGGGCGCAGCTTACAAGCTCGAGCACCCCTCCCTCTCTCTCGTCCCCAAGGCGTCCTGAGAGCAGCCCCAAGGTGTTGGGGTCGTAGCTGTGGAGCCTTGGTTCAGGAGGGCGATTCAGACGTGGTAGCCCAGTAATAGTAACCATATCAATGAGGGTACCCTTTTCTGGTGCTAGCTGCTAGTTATTCTCAGAAGAGAACCCACAACCCAAAAAGAGGAAAAGGGCACCACTCAGCTAGAGAATCATCCACACGAATGGTCAGCCATGAGGCAGAGCTGTCCTAAAAACTGTTCCCAAAGAGGGACCATATCCTGCCCCGCCTGTGCCAAGCAAAGCACCTATAGACACCTTGTTTCAGCCCTTTCATTGGAGGGGGTTCCCAAAATCAGGGGAACCCGTTTTTGGGGGGTTGGGCCATGGGGTATATTTGGGTCAATTCGGTGTAACCCGATTCGCCTAAACCATCCGAATGCTATAGAGACCCCCATATGCTATAACAACATCTCAGGACGTCGGATGCTGCAACTGCGGAGCTTGGCCAGGCTTTGAACGATCGCCTCCATGGCCGGCCGACGCCGGTCCTTCCGGCATCTGGCCGAGTTTTGAACTCCTAAAGGGTTTGGGGTTTAGGGTTTAGGGTTTAGGGGTTAGGGTAACTCCAGGTACTCGCATGAGGTCTGCCAGCCTTGGGAAGCTTCAGCAAGCCGTTGTCCGGAATGTGCCCCTGACATGTTGCTTCAAACAGGTACCCTTCTGTTTCCCTGCTCTGCACACACAGTCCGGGTGTTGTGACATGCAACTGACTATTGCTCGACACACACTGCCATCGAAAGGCCTTGACGAAGGACATGACGTAGAAGGATGTTCCAATCACCTCCAGATGCACTATACTGAACTTGGAATTGTGACTTTAGCTGTTTCTTAGGACTTAAAGTACTACCCAAAATATAAAAAATACCCCTAAGACAAGGGCAACGACAGCATTGGTGAATACGATGCCCTCGGAGCATCGGACCCCACCGCACACCTTGGAATCCTCGCACAGCGCATGGACAACCGGAACCTCGTAGCCGACCTACAGGAGGGTTGGTTTTAAAGGTCAGGGTTTTGCAGCTGGAGGGTTTTCGGCTTTAAGTTTGCTTGTAGGGTTTAGGGCTACAGGGTTCTGGATTAGGGTTTGGTGCGTGGGGTATGGTTTTGCTTTGTTAGGGTTTAGGCTTGCTCGCTGCACACAATGCCCTGTCGAGGCCTCGGTGGTTTTGTACAGCCAAGCTCAGGGTCTTGCAAAATCGTTTGAAGCCTTTTCGGGGTTTTGCCGGTGGAGACATGTTGTAGAGCAGTCGAGGATGCTGGGGATCATATCATGTTCAAAGCTCCTATCCTGAATCCGGTACATTAGACGCTTGTAACATCACACGAATATTTCGCGAGGATGTGGTTGAATCAATGGCATTCCGACCATTCTACGAGGCAGCACTAGAATCCATGCCCGGTGGCCAGCCCTCCCCCGATGCCCACCTTGCCAACAAATATGCATCATGACAAAATATTTCTCGCCCCTAAGATGCACTGATACACCGCACTGATACTCCGAATGGAACCGCAGCCTAGAAACAATTCGAGCACTTCCCTGCCTTTCCTCCATAGAGCCACAACCCCTACGGAAATACAGAGGCCTGAACCTAAGGTGCTCCGGCCTGACCCAAAGCCTTCATCACGCGATACTCTCGGTCGACGGCGTGCGCGCCACGAATCAGCTTGCCTGGCAACGCCAGGGAAGCCGGGGGGGGGGGGGGGGGCACTTTCTTTCGGAGATCTGAAGCCTTTACATGTCCGTGGTTTGTTAGGTTTGGAAGCAGAAGTGATCCCACATGACGCTCTGCGAAGTTTCCTCTGGTGCTCTTCCTGCGCCACGACGCAAGAGTTCGGAAACACCAACGTCCAAGCCCTCAACATCCACGACAGCCCTCAGCCGAAGACCGAGTACCCGAGATGCAAAACCGCCATGCCACCTGGCGGTTGCTTGCGCAGCACATACCTGCTGCGATGGCAAGTGCTCAGTCGATTTGGAAGTAGGGTTTTGAGTTGGTCTACATGGCTCTCAAGTGCGATGTTTCATCTGATCCTGCAGTACTAGCAAACGCCAAATCAACTGATGGTCCTTGGCAACTTCAGACTTCTCCTACGACTACAAGCTGACAGGGTGAGCGCGCGAGGAACTCCTTGTTCTACGGTGCACTTATGCACGCGGGCCCTCTCACCTGCAAGAAGCCTTTGCGACTGTGGCCACCCTGCAGCTCGATTCTCTGCCGGGCATGGTGTGTTGCCTGCGGTCCATTTGTGCGCGCGTCCGCCAATTCTGGAACTGCTCAGCTCTAGTTTTGTCGCAGCGCTGTTGCCCTGCCAATGCATCTGTGTTGCTTCTGCTTTCACACAAGACTTGACAGCCGTTCACACGGACCTCTGGGGGCGCGTTAGCTTGACATTGCGATCGTTGAGCGCGGCAAAGAGGTGCCCACGCACGCTCCATCACAACTGCAGGTGCAGTCGGGCCAGGGACCCCGGGCAGTGTGCTGCAAGAGGGCTGCCTCAGAGAAGCCACTCCGGCAGGTGCCTATCTGCCTGGAGCATTTCTGCGGGTGGCTGCTTCAACTGTCTGGGGTGGGAAAACCCGTGATGCACATGGCCACGATCTCGCAGAAGCTTTTCGCGTCCTCAATAACGAGGATCGGTGGCTTGGCGAGATCTTTTGTCGCAAGATCTGCACGCTTAGGTTTCCAGCTCGAAAAGGAAAGCTTCAGCAGGGACGGCCGTTGCAAGCGTGTCATGGGTGCTCCGATGCTTTTTGAGAAAAGTCATGAAAATGAAAAGTCTCTTCTGAAATACTAGACTGGTAGGACTATTCACAGCCAATCGCACAGGACTGCCCAGGGTGCAGGAACTCACCTCACTCATCTATCAAGCTTGAGGAAGGGATGCCGGGGACACGAAGAAGCCCAACAAGCAACTCAGGCAACGCAGATTTCCCTAAACCCTAAACCCTAAACCCTAAACCCTAAACCCTAAACCCTAAACCCCTAAACCCCTAAACCCCTAAACCCATTCCTGTGCAGAAGGGCGTGTCACGAGCCTCTGGCCGCCATGAGCGTCTAAGCAGTAGGTGGGATTCGACCTCAGCAAAAACATAGGCCGCAAAGCCCGGATCAAAAAGTCCGGAGACAGGCGCCCCACAACCTGTAAATTGCTAAGGCCTGGGCTGCCCGTATCCGAACTTCTTCACCCTCAAGGCTCCACCCTCCACACCGGGCAGGCCCTGCAAAGGGCTCAGAAAACACGCAAGAACTTGACCCGCAAAAGCATCTTCAAGACGTGAAAGGCCACCGCTGTTTTACATGCAACAAGACACGTAGCAGAACGTGGCTGCTACTGCTTGCTTAAGAACCCCCAACAAAATTTTAAAAAAATCGATCCTATATTACCCTTAGAATAGATCTTTACTTTTACTTGTTTTGTTGTTGTTTTTTTTTGGGGGGGGGAGGCAATTCGTAGGCTTGTGTTCCTCCCACCGCTCAGCTGCCTGGGAGACCAAGTATCTTGCCAGCGCCTGCTCATCGAATCGGAGCCTCTCCTGCCAAAATCGGGCGGGGGCAAGCACGAAGTAGGATCTTGCAGCTATAGGGAAAACATGTACTTGAAGGTTCATGGGTACTTATGAGTAGGTTCATCAGTACACTAAATAGGGCTTTAATCATAGAATACACTTGTTATAAGCCCCATTTCTAAGTACCCATCTGAAGCTAGAGGCTGGTAGCCCTGCATCAGTGCAGCATCATCGAGGTTCTCCAGCTACCCCTGGTGCTGGTTAGGCCTCCACCTCCACGGTATCTTGGCCCGGGCTCGCCATGGGTCGGACAGTTGTGGAAGATGCTGTGTTCTCTTGTGCGCATGAAGATCCAGTTGCTTGTGGTCTGATGTCGATGGCTGCTGTCGAGCTTCGGCCACGACAACAACATCGCAGCAAGGGGCATGTCTCTTCGTCATGGAAACCACTTCGGGGTTGCTAGGCATGTGCTGAGGTTGTGGAACTGGGCTCGGCAACGAACTGCTTCAACATCGCTCGACGCGATAGATGCACTCCATACGACTAGAAATCGAGCAAACAACGTCATGATCCAGCATCGGAAACTTGCAACAATGCTAAGCAAAGTAATCCGTGAACTGCCCGCGTGCACGCGCGCAGCACTAGCGCGCGGCGGAGTCATGGCGGCCTGGGCAATTGCCAGCACCTGGCAAATTCAAGTCGCACAAGCCCAAGCAAACAATACGCCTAATCCGCAGAGGCAATTGTGTCGATGTGCAAACTCCGGCGAGTAAGCGCAATTGACTCTGAAGTCCGGGCTTGTCCCCCACTACTTGGGATGGTCCCCCTTATACTAGCAGTCCTTAATAGGGAGTCTAGTACCCCCTACTAGACTCCCTATTAAGGACTGTTAGTAATTGGGAACATCCCAACCCACTACACTTATCAAGCCGCCAAGGCGGCCTCCACAAAGACAAGAAAAGCAAAGGACTCCCGAGGGGCCCCAGCGCTCTAGCGTAGTTAGGGTCTAGGGTTTAGGGCTTAGGGCTTAGGACTTAGGGTTTAGGGTTTAGGGTTTAGGGCTGGTAACCTCCGTCCTAAACCTACCCTGGGCAACAACATATGGCATTTAGCACTGGCCCTAAACCCCCGCTGAAGCCCTCATGACCTGTTCTACAAGGCACGTCTACAACCAGTACTGCTCAATCCGCGCAAGCGCTTGAGGTCCTAGGACGAATCCGACCCGTGGAGTTCTGCGTCATTCGGCTTTGCTAGTTTTTTGCTGGGATAGGATTAAAATCAAAATTTCAATTGCTTCTTGTGTTTAAGTACCCTTAACAGTGTAAAAGGTTACTCCACTATGACAAGTCCAGGGGGAAATGGAAACATCTGGCATCGGCACGTTGTTGCGCCGCACGGTTGTTGACACCTGTCATTGGCAACAGGGGTTGCACGCTTGAGATGGGACATGATGGGACTGACGACTGTACCTGTACCACTCTGCTGGGTCTGCTTCTTCGGACAACGAGTACTGAGACTGCCTGAAGCACTAATGCAGCACTGTTTCACATCTGCGTCTGAAATTTGGAGTCGTTGAGGCGTTCGCCAGGCATGTGTAAAGCACTGTGACAGAAAGTCCCACACAGCCCAAAGGGTCCTCAGAACTACGACTATGGTTTGGGTAACTGTCCCCGGTACTTAGGACCCTTTGGGAAGGGGGGACTCCGGAGCCGCTTCGGCCCATGTCTGGCAGTTCACCTCGCCCCGAAGGCTTCTTGTGAGCGCATCGTTGTAAGACATGGCTCTCCCTCCTCTATACCCCCCCTTAGAGCCTTAATAAACGTGATATTTTTAATATCCTCTTGGGTTTTATATCAACAATATAAAAAAAAATCCAAAGGGGGACATAGTCCTACTGCAACTTTTCGCGGAGTCTATGCACACACGTGATCCCAACCTCCTGGCTCTCCAAGCCACATGTTGATGGGACTCAGAAGGGGCCTAAATAGGTAGAACAGGGTTCTTGGGGGTTACTCTACGAAAACAATATAGTGACTATAAGGGAATACTCTGAGTAGTTATTCCGACCCCTCTATTGCAGCAAGGAGACTGTCACCGACTCTAGGCCCTTTAGGCTGTCGCAGGCTGCGAAATCAGAAGCTCCAGCTTCTGTTTCGCCGAACTCTTTGACAAAGTCGGATCCGTCCTCCTCACCCGCTTTCAAGCTGAATTCAATCACGCAGTCTTCGTCGGCCGAGAGGTAGAGAGCTGCCTGGCCCTTAGAAGATACCTTGGGACGACCAAAAGGCCACAAGACGAGCTGACACTCCAAGCCATCCATCATGAAAGTGTCGCTTTCGATCTTGGGACGCTGGTGTGGCTTGATTCGTGTTGACGTCAATAGGGCCAACTGCGATGCAAAATGCCAGGTGTAGCAGCGACCGCTCTGGGATCCAGCAGTTCCTTCGGCATCAGGCCCACACTTCCTGCCAAGATTTGGGGCGGTCTTGCCCGGACTCTTTGCTCGAAGGGGTGTGGGCACTCCGGACATCGCCTGCTTGGCCTCAGCTGCCCGCATCTTGTCCGCAGTCGTCCTCCGTGCTGCGGCCGGTGCGATTGCCACCTTGAGTCGCGAAAGCTGTTCCTGCTCGGCGGCATTAGGTGCACCTACATGATGCCTATATGTATCAGCTGACATGGCAAGGATGTGTATCAGATGTACTAGTACCACACCTCACTACATGTGTACAGCAGGCAAGATCGGAATGAACCGCTACATGCTTCACCGCCTTGAAATCCTCCAAGGTGGCCATCTTGTGTTGCAGGTCTTGTCTTCGAAGCAAGATCACGTTGTCCTTCGGGAAGAGTTCCTGAAGGTTGCTTCCACCGAGCTCCTCTCGCCACTTCTGTTCCAGCTTTTTGCTCAACTGCTCGACCATCTTGAACTTGACCATCTTAGCTGCCATCTCCACAAACCCTTCAATCAGAAAGCCGGTGTACACATGCAAGGAGGCGCAGATTTCAAGCACCGCAAGCTTGTCAGGCTCATACTGCGCTTTCTGGACAACCTCGACGAATTCGGGTGGAAGCTCCTGCTCATCAAAGGCTTTGGTGCCCATGAGGGCTTCCGCGATCGTCTTCTTCATGCTGTCGGCCTTTTGGTGTAGCCAAGACTTCCGAAACTGTGTCAGCCTGACCATGTACTCACCATGCGTGGTGGATGTCACCTGCTGTGCCTCTGCCATCGTCTCACAAACGTCACGCGCTTGGGCCATGAGGCTATCAACACAATCCTCGGCCTTGACGGAGAGACGATTGGCCAGCACCGCGCTGCTGTTGGCGTGCATGGACACCACATGCTGCACCACCGTGCGCAGGTGTTCCGCCACAGTGGAGACCAGATCACCAACGGCATCCTTCAAGAGCCCCTCTTCCACGAAAACCCGCTTGATCAGGTTCACGAAGACCTGCGGACCAGTCAAGTTGTCCACAGTGTAGCCGCGCACAAACGTGGCCACCGTGTCCTCCACCTCAGTGATCATCTGTTCCCCTAGCCAGCTTGGATTGCTCGACAGCAACTCCTGGCGAAACTCTTGGATCATACCGGCAACCCGTGGGGCGATGGTGAGTTCTCGGTCTGCTTCCTCCGTGCTCATGAACTCAGCACGAACACGCCTCTCTAAGTCACTCTTGATGTCATTGAGGGTGGTGTTGAACACGCGGAACTGGTCTGCTTCAGTTTCCGTCTGTTCTGGCAAGTCCCGGAGCTGATTTCTGAGAGCCACCGTCTTCTGCCGCACGGCCTCCCTGATCTTCGGCAAGCAGGCATCGACCCTGTCCTCCTGGATCTTGGCGATCTTTTCCATAAGGCGACGGGTGCCCCAGTAGTCTTCTGGAAGGCTTCGCAGGCGCTCGCTGCTAAAGATCTTCTTCTCCTTGTTCCATAAGTCCACCCGGCTCATGCCTTCGTCAATGTTCTTCTGCGAGCGGTTCACCACGCAGTGAAACCCCAGCTGCAGTCGCATATCTGTCTCTCGCCTCATCAACACCTGCGAGGGGTCAGAGGCTTGGTCTAACTACGATCCCCAGCTCGATTGTATACCATCTCTTGAGAACCAAATGAACCTTAAAATTTGGGTCCTATACCCTGTACTACTATAATCCCGATTAGGTTATATGAGCCATAGCCCCATTTAGGGTTCATGTGGTCCTTAAGGTCCGATGTTTAGACCCAAAGATCAGCACTTGGCCTTCTCGACAACATCGGATGCTTCAGCATGAGCTGCATCGTCACACTTGGTGACCACACCAAGCGTGCGAATCCCATCTGGATCGTACTTCTTTGCAAGCTTCACCACCTGGAGCAAGAAAAGGGAGCCATCAATCAATTGAAAATTGAACTGGCGCTTTCCGAATATAGGGGTGCCGGTTTTGGGGGGGTCCCTTTAAGGGGATTCTATTTGGGGTACAAAAGGGGTACCCCCCTATCTTGGGAAATCCCCAACTGACAACTGACCCCAGAGTCTCGCACCTCAGCATTCCCAAAGTCCGACATGGCAGGGATCACGCAAAGAATCACCATCTCGTCTGGCTTTATGTACTCCTCCACCAGTGCCACGGTCACCTGACGGTGCACGTTGCACACTCAGACTCGACTTCATTCTTATTTAATGATAAAAATGTCTTAATATTGTGATACTTTCAAAATATTCGAGGGCTTGCTTATATTGCCAGTCTAGTGTAGAACCTCACCAGAGCTATGAAGCTGAAGGGGATTCGGGCCTCATGTATGTTCTCCATACACTCTGCATTGTGGGTCACGCCAGGAAGGTCAATCAAAGACAGCTGAGGTCCTTCTTTGCGTACCACTCGAACGAAGAGTGCCTTGCCGCGAAGACATGGCAGCTTCTTGCATGAAGTAGATAATAGATGTCAATCCGGACTCCCCGCATGGCAAATGGATATCGTAACCCGGAGCAGATGTCAAGACCCCGCTGACTGCTAACCACTCACTGGCAATGACACTAAGTTACTCCGCTCAGAGGAGAAAGCTCGAAGGAGCTTTGATGTTGTAGCTCTTGAAGGCTTGATAATGATACTCAAACCCCGATAACAATGCTCTTCTGGTCGGGCGTTGGTGGTACGGGCAGTCTTTGTGACGCTGGACGCTCTGCCCACACACGGTGTTGGTTCAACGGCTGTCCCGTCAGCACTGATCGGTGCCAGGGCGAATCTTGATGAAGGTTAGAAGTCCCCTAAATACTACGGTGAAAACCATAGTTACCCTTCTTGTATCGCTAAGTTTAGAAGTAACCACGAACCTCCAAGTAGCTGTTCTTGGACTGTAGTCAGCGTTGCTGGTTATGGACCTGCCTGACTGTGCATTTTCCTCATCGTGACGGTTTCCCCAGGCTCCACCGAGCCACTGCCACCCGACGAACGTGCGGCAAAGGCAACGCAAGGAAGTAGCAGGTACGTGTTGTGATTCAATGTCAGATCTGTCAATCTTACTGCAGACAAAAATTTACATGTGCCAGCAACGTTGTAATGTTTTCAATATTCTAAGTAACATACAAGCATGCGCTAGGAGTTGTCATCTGAAAAACACCAACATGAGCATGTCCATGTGTTTCAATCTTCAGGGTGGTGCAGGTGTCCAACCGCCTGCTTTGAGATGAAGTCGTCACCAGTCGCATGCTTCTCGGTCAGCTGCTTGATCTTGCCCTCGACCTGCATGACCGGGCATGGACCAGCCTGAGCCCAGCGAGTAAGGCCGAGCCAGAAAGGACTGCCGCATGCCAAGCACAAGAATGGTGTTAGGGTTTAGGGTTTAGGGTTTAGGGTGCAGAATCTCAGGCGCCAGCATCCTCAAAGCTCGGATCCATGGACACAAGCGCATAAGGGTCATCTGTTGCAGGATCCGTCAGCATGGTGAGCACACAAGGCATCCTCGTGCACGTGTTCTGGGAACGGGGGAACTGGATGCCGGAAATGCTCTCAAGCAGGGAGGACTTCCCGGCAGACTGCTCGCCCACGACGACCACGCCCGGCAACGGAATCTCCACCGCGTTGCAGACGTGCCGCACCCTCTCGAAGAGCCCCAACTTCTTGGACAGCTCTGCCATGGCTTCTCGAAGCGGCTCATCTCCAACCTGGGCATTTAGGGTTTAGGGTTTAGGGTTTAGGGCGTAGGGTTTAGGGTTTAGGGTTTAGGGTTTCGGGTTTAGGGTCACCATAATGGGATGGAATGACTGAGGCAGGCCTGAGGAGGTGCAAAGGTGCAAGTGGATTCCCCGGCTGGTCAAGTTCTCTCTGGGCCTCTGGCTGACGACATGATGCTCTGGATCTTTCAGGTAGGCGGCGCAATGCACCTGATAGGGCTACGCGGCCTCTCCTTGTTTGCAAACGGCTGGCGCGGCCGCTGCAGAGTCGAGCAACGAAATCGTCTCCCTTTATTAGGGCCCTGAAAGGGTCCTTACAGGGTTCTTATAGGGTCCTTGCAGGGTTCTTGTAGCAATTGAGGACTAAGCCCTAAACCCCAAACCCTAAATCCTAAACTCTAAACCCTAAACCCGCGTCGGAGCTGCTGAGGTTGAACTCCTCGGGCACCGTCAGCTTCAAGGAATGATGGCCACGGCCTCGAGAAGGTAGCCCTAAACCCTAAACCCTAAACCCCAAACCCTAAACCCTAAACCGTGGTGCAACGTAAAGAAAGACCAGGCACAACCCTGCCTGGTTTCCAGGTTTAAGGGCCCTATACAATCACCAGCCATGAACCCCAAAATCTCCGAGCCTTGAACGCGCTAGAAACGCGCAATGCTGCAAGGCCCCAAAATTCCAGGCCCTAAGGTCCCTAAATCAACAAAAGCCCAAAGAACCCAAAACCCTAAAACCCAACAAACATCAGATGAAATGGACCCTATACACCCCCCACCCTACCCCTCCTACTACTACTACTACTACTACTACTACTACTACTACTACCACCACTACTACTACAGCAACCTCTCAGCTCGGAGCGCATGTCTGGGAAGTTGAGGGCCTGCGCAAGGGCTTAGGGTTTAGGGTTTAGGGTTTAGGGTTTAGGGTTTAGGGTTTAGGGTTTAGGGTTTATATGCTTTCGGGGCCTGAATACGTGGCAGGTTTAGGTCTCGTAGGGTGAGGTTTGGGGGCTTGGGGGGGAGGGCTTGAGGCCTTTAGGGTGTCTGTGGTTAGAAGCATCTAGGGATGTCTCTAGGGTTCAAAGTTCGGGCTTTCAGGGTGTTGAAGTACCTGACCATGCCACGGGGCTTGAACTTCAGGGTGTTCAGGGAACATCTTTGGAGCACGTCACCATGTGGCTTGATAGGGATAGGCTTGCTGAGGCGTGTATGGGGTTTTGGGGGGTTTAGGGTTTAGGGTTTAGGGTTAAGGGTTAAGGGTTAAGGGTTTAGGGTTTAGGGTTTAGGGTTTAGGGGGCTATATTAATTAGAGAGGATGCCATTCGCAACTGCATGGGCTCCAGTACTGAGGCACGAAATGGCTTAAAGGAGAAATCCTGTACTGCAGCGGCGGTTTTCGTATGGCTCCCTGAACATCCTAAGCCCCGCAGCAGCCAAGGAACAAGAAGAAAAAGCCCTATGCCTCGCAACCCTAAAACCTCGAACCCTACATCTCTAAAACCGAAACCGTAAACCCTGAACCTCTTAACCCTGGTCCTCTTAACCCCTAAACCTCAAACCCAAAACTCGAAACCTGTAAACCCTAAACTCTAAACCTCTTAACCTTAGCCCCACAACCTCTTAGCCCTAAACTCAGAACCCTTAAAGCCTCTAGACCCTAAACCCCAAACTCGAACCGACAGAGCCCAACCCAGGTGTTGAGAGCCTGCCGGAAGCTGCGCTCGTTGCGGCGCAGCTGTAACTTGAGCCGCCGCCGGCCGTCCTACAAAAGAGCTTGTCAGGGCACAAAACGCCCGCATTTGTAGGGTTCCTGATTCTGAGTTCCTTACATAGAGTCCCTTGTAGAGCTCAGAGCTCAAGCTTGAATCATTAAAACCCAACAAGGGAAATTATGCACTTTCCCAAGGCCCTTCCCTGCAGGTTCAGGATTTCGGGTGGAAACGCTGGCGAGGCGTGCAGCTTTTGGCGATTTCCGGCTTGAGAAGATCCCCATGTCAAATCGAGCACAAAGAGCGCCAAAGATACGGTGGGACCCTAAAACCCTCAATCGTCCTTGTTTGAAAACCCCACACCCGTACCATCCTCCTGAACGAAACCTCTGCAAAACAATTTCTGCGACTGCCTGTCCTAACGCAAGAGGCGCAGTGTGCGCATCGAAAATCCCAAACCGGCCTCCATCTCCATCTCTTCGAGGTCTGCACTGCTCAAGCAGCTGTGCCTCTTCTGATTGCACGGGTTTAAGGAAGTTTCGGGTTCTTGTTCAGTGCACCACTAAACCTCAAACCCTAAACCCTAAACCCTAAACCCTAGGGTCACCTTGAGCCCTTGCATGGAGCCCATCATCTGCTCTCAAATCCTAAGAAGGGGGTAGATCGCAGTTTCCCCCTAAAGCCCCTCAATCCCTTAATCCCCAACCCTAAACCCCTAACACCCCTTCACCCCCCCCCCCCCCCCCCTTATACACCCAGTTGCACCCTAAACCCCGAACCCCAAACCCCAAACCCCAAACCCCCAAACCCCCAAACCCCCAAACCCCCAAACCCCAAACCCCAAACCCCCCAACCCCCAAACCCCAAACCCTAAACCCCAAACCCTAAACCCTACTTAACTTCCCGTCAGCGCCCTGGCGCCTCGATGAGCTGCGCCGGGAGAGACGTGAGATGCGGGAGCCGTAGCTGGCGATGCTCATGTCCGAGCCTTTTCTTTGAAGGGGGGCGGGGGGGGTTTAGGCTTTAGGGTTTCGGCTTTTGGGTTTAGGGTTTAAGAGGGTTTAGGGTTTAGGGGTTAAGGGTTTTAGGGTTTAGGGCTCCTCATAGAACTTCGGGCCCTTGTATGCCTGCGACATACCTTTTTCAAGGGAGCTTTGGGTTTTGGGGCTCGGGATTTCGGGTTCCAAGTGATGGGTGGAAGGCTTCGGGGCTCAGGGCTTTGGGGGTTGTGAACCCCCTACCCCCCGCCTGGCTCCCTGGCCCTGCTGGCCCCCCTGCCCTCCCGGCTTCTGGCCCCCCTGCCTCCCCTGGCCCCCCCCCTCGCGCTTGTCGGGTCCCACAAGGCAAGTGCCCATCCTTGCGTCCTGAAACAACTTTTCCGTCGAAACCCATGACAAACCACCGGCAGAAGTTTGTATTGTAAGTCAGTTGACTTGAGTTTAGGCCTAAACCCTAAAAGGAATAGGTTTGGGTGGCTTTGCCGCCTTGGACGGCGTGGGGTGGGAGAAAGGTGTTAGATGGCCCTCCACGGTCGCCCCAGAGCTGCTCTTCGCGACGCACGAAGCTTTCGAGCTTGTTCCAAAAACCAAACCTTCACAGCATCTACGCCCTATTACAGCAAACCCCAAACCCTAAACCCTAAACCCTACACCCTAAGCCCTAAACCCTAAACCCCAAACCCCAAACCCCAAACCCTAAACCCTAAAAGTTGCTGCCGGAATCTCAGAGGCGGGCAAGACCGAGCCGACCTTGTGAGTTTCGAGCTGAGGGTTCAGGGTTTCCGAGCTCGTGAGATGTTAGGGTTTAGGGTTTAGGGTTTAGGGTTTAGGGATTAAGGTTTAGGGTTTAGGGTTTAGGGTTTAGTTCCGGTTCCTGGATTTCAGCGTTTCAGGGGGTTCGTGGCGGCCGGGGGCGTTGGGGCTTGGATTTAGGGGTTTGGGGCGTTCCAGCTTTGGGCTTTCGGTTTTGGGGGACTAAGCTGGTGGGGCCAACAACACGGTCTTGGAAAGCCAAGACCGAACCACAGGCATCTCTTGAGTGAAGAGAGCTAGCTGGCCATAGTAACAAAACTGGCAACGACCTTCACGAAAATGCAGATCCAAAATGGCAATGAAGAAGATGATGAAGTGGGATGGCTCTTACTACCCTCTGAAAGAGACTGCTTGATTCGGAAAACGGTAAAATCTCCCAAGGGCCTACCTAGTGAACAGTGCCGTAAGCCCAAGCACGAAATGCACCGCTGATGTGATGAACTTCCTTGGGGATGTAGGGTTGAAGGGGTGTGGAGGTTTAGGGTTGAGGGTTTAGGGCAGGGTTTGGGCCCCCAGACAAGCAGCAAAGTCAAGAACGCCCCGAAATGCCAGGAGCACCATCGAACTTGCACGAGAAGGAGCACCAATGCCAAATGCGAGCAACAGAAACCACGGCAGAAACGCGGCTTGCAAACTGGAAGTAGAAGTCAGAAACCCGAAGTAGCCCCCAAAAACCTGACATATGAACCCTATTGAACCCAAACAAATAACACCTGCATTGCCTGCACGGCGATGGGGTCATGCGCGCCAGGCGGCCTCTACCTCAACCCCCACATGTCAAGCGCCCGACATGGGGAGTTTGAGGGGGGTACGGGAGTGATTTCAAAGACTGGGCGGCTGGGTTTTAGGGTTAGAGGTTAGAGACCTTAGCTCCTAGCTCGCAGGGTGCAGGACGAAGACGACGACGAGCCGGACAGCAAACCACACCTCCTGCGAAAACCGCTGCCGCACACGGAAGCGCCACAAAGCTTGCGTAGACCCTTTTTCGCAAACCCCACTATTCTCACGAAAGCTTGAACTGCCAACCCTGCAGCACTGGGGAGGCGGACCGCCGGACGAAGTTCGAGGCGATGAGATCTGCACATTGGATTTGACTTGATTGGGTGGGGTTTACCCATACACCAGCGTGGCAGTACGCGCCCTTCATATCGAAACACGGTAAATGTATGCCTCAGTTGTTGGGTATAACTCCCTCTTCTTGTAGAGCCCACAGAGTGCTTTTAGGAAGGCTTTCACTCAAATTACGAGAGCAAGACGGATTGCAGTTGCTAAGGGCTGAAGCTGTTTGGAACTTCTCCAATAACCAGGGGCAGGAAAAACAGGTTACACTTTAATGTTCCTAATGAATAAGGAAACCCAAAAAAGTTTAAAGTTCAACTGTTGGCCAGGTAACCCTAAGTCCCAGGAATTGAAGCCCAGTACGATGAGCAAGCTCTGCAACACACCCCGAGGATCGGTGGCTGCAACTTTGTGGGGTTTAGGGTTTAGGGTTTAGGGGTTTTTTGGGGTCTATAGGGTTTAGGGTTTACCCCAAGGGGGGGGGGGGGGGGGGGGGGGGCTTGACAGTACTTACCGTCACTCCGATGTGAGGTCGGCGGCTTCAGTATGGAGTGTATTCCATGCTCTCCCTGCGCCCAATTGCCATGAAGGGAT